AAAAAAAAACAGGGGTAGAATCCAAGGGTGGCACTGAGCGTTTGGGAAATATCTGTGGCCCATTCCTTGGAATCATTCTACCCTTCTAGGCCCCTTGAGAATTTCTTAAATGTGTTCAAGACTTTTTTCTCACTGTCTTGATAATCACCATCCATGTTAACAAACTTCACTCTTTCTTTCTTCCTTCCTTCCTTCTCCCTCCTCCTTTTATACAAGCAGGCTGTGATTTTTCCAAATATCTCTGCCTTGGTTCCTTTTGCCCTCAAATATCACTGTAAATTCACTGAAACTGACCAATAACACTCTTAACACAGCCTGGATGCTTTATTGTTTAGAACTTTACTCTTTCAAACTTCCCAGAATCTTACTTTTAAATTCTGCTTTCCATGCAGCTGTAGGGCTTAGATATGGGTTGGCAATTTTATTACTTTATCATAAGGATGCCTTTGTCTCCAGTTTCCAATCTTTGTCTTCTCAAACTCAGCGACCTTTCCAGAATAACCTGTAGTGATCTTATGGAATTCTAGGCCTTTTCTAGCTGGCAAAATGTTCTAATCTCTGCCAGTTATCCAGTTCCAGGGCCAGTTCCACATTTTCACGTATAATTACAGCATTGACCTCATTATTCAGTATCAGTTTTTGTATTATTTAATTTTCTATTTCTATATCGAAATACTAGATGCTAGGTACTTTATACAGAAAAGAAGTTTTCTTTGATTATAGTTCATGGCAATCAGGAAGCAGAAGTTAATAGAGTCTAGGAGTAAAGGGCAATACAGTCCTCAAGGCAATGCTTCTTCAACTAACACCCACCTCCTACCAGCCCATTCAGCTGTGAGCTCGTCAGTGAATGAACCCCTTCAGGAGGTTAGCCCTCCTGACCTCACAATCCAATTGCTTCTGAAAGCCCATCAGTTGGTCTTTGGGGTCCATTGTAGATCCAACCTGTTATAGTCCTGTTCTTATCCTGTATTCAGTGCAAAATAGAAGACTCATAGTTTATCACCTCAAGATGTAGTTATCAACTGTCTCATTGCGCATGAGTCACCTGGAGGGCTTGTATTCTAGTCCCACTCTCAGGGCTCCAAGTCATTGAGTCTAAGCATCCCCCAGAGAAACTAACGCTGCTTGCTGGTTTGCAACACCTCCTCCCCTGCAGAGTAACTAATGACTAGAATGAAATTTAATGTGCACTTGCTCCTTGAAAGCTTAGTTTCTTTTGAAAAGCTCCAAAGGCTTTCCTGCAGAGTGCTTGGTTCTCTATGTAGTGTTGGGATAAGGAGTTAAAATAGAGATGTGCAAAATGACCTGCAGGGCATGTGGGACGAGAAATAGAAAAATAGGACTGCCACAGCAGAGGGAGTAACCAGGAACACCTGAAACTCTTCAAGGACATCCTGTTTTTATGTCCTTGCTCCCAGATGCCCAGCAGAACCTCACGTATAGCTAAAACGTTCATCTTAGGCACACACCATAAAGGCTTGTTTTGTTAGCTGAAAGTAACCTCAAGGCTAGGATACAATATATAAAAAATAAAGACCAAAGGCAGGACAGCAGCCTTTTACTGTACCCTTGCTTCGCTTCTGTTATGTGTTCTTGAGTCTCTGTTTGCAGCCAGTGTCTGTGAGACTTTCCCAGAAATGCAGCAAAGTAGTTTTGGAGGTGTTATGGCTCTTTTGGATTGCCAGTTGCCAAATAGTAGAGTGGGCTTAGATGATACGAATTGCCTACTGCAGTGAACCCATCATTTAAGGAAGAAGCTTGGTATTTTCTGTGAATTGCAGTGCTGTTTTTGTTGGCAGTCTTAGCACTCCTCTACCGTCTCAAAATGGGGCCCTTTTTGAAAGAAGCTCTCCCATGATGTTTATGTTGTACTCATTTTGGCAAGCGTTAGTTTGTGGGCTTACCAAAACTGTGAGCGTTCTCACACTCTTATGTTCTGCTCTACTCAATGCTGCCTTCTGTTTTTGCTGATGTCTTGCACATGTGTGTCCCTTAATCTTGGGACCTTACCTGTGAAAATCTCCCTTGGACATCCCGCGTGGGCTGACAAGTCCCATCCCACCTCCCGTGATAAAGATGACTTCCTATGCCCAGGAAAGAGAAGATTAGTGATGCTACATGATAGATTTTTGACAGTGTCACAGCAGAGAAACAGGGAGAAAGAAAAAGGGAAAGGAGCTTTATTATCTTTGAGGACACGGAGAGAATCTGGGGAAGATGAGGGATTCTCTTGGTTGTAACAAAAGGAGGCTGAGGCTTTCATGGCCTTTTGCAGGGGTGGAGTTTGAGGGGGATGTTTAGAAATATCTGAGGAACTGATTGGGGTCTTCTCTGAGATGGCAGGAAAGGTGAAAGGAAATTTTACCCTGGGCCGAGTTGGAGAGGAAGTAGGGGCTGGTCTTGGGGAAGACGAGCTATTGTTTTAAGGGCTGCAACCATATTAAATGGCCACCATAATAATTCAGCAATTTATAGTAGGGCCAGAACCTATCACTACACAAGGTAAAAGGGATCAATCATGATCCCTTTTGGCCCTGCGTCAGGGCCAAAAAGTAGACTGTTTTAGCAAAGGCTTCCTTAGTTCTTGGCTGCCACGGCCTTGAATTCAGTATGTTGCACAAGTACCAGGTGGAAGATCTCTGTCCTGGCCACAGGTACACCTCCCCTGAGTGTTAGCCAGGATATGTATTTTCTACTGGAATACTGAACTGCCACTTCCAGGCCCCAGGCTTTGCTTGTCCTCAGTCTTCATACCTGGTGAAGAGTGACCAAATCTCTCACCCTCCTGAGGCTGAACACTTATCATACATACTCTTACTGAAGCCACTCAATGGTCCAATCTTGAAGAAAACTATAACTAAGTACCTCCCCCTTCACATTCACTGTGGCTCCAGAAGTTTATTTTTTCCCCATGATATGCTGATTATTTCTAGTTTCCCTATTAGAGAAGTGAGCACTGTTTTTCTGGCCTACTGGAGATTGAACCTACACAGTCTCAGCTCTTTTTGTTTTTTATTTTTATATACAGTCTTGCTAAATTGCTAAGTTCCCCAGGCTGGGCTCACACTTCCGATCTTCCTGCCAAGGGATTGTAGAGTGCTGGAATTCACAGCGATGTGCCACCATGGCCAGCAGAATGGAGCATGCTTGTCTTTATAAGCCTACAGAAAATCTGATTAGAGAAGGACAGGATTGGATCCTTCCACCATCTGAAGCATGCGCACACGTAGAAGGCACTGACGTCCTGAAGCATGGGTGCACACCTAGGGTTAGTAACCCTTGGAAAGTTTGTCTTGTATTTCTAGGGACGTCACCTCTGCACTGACTGTATATGGAAAAATAGTTAAATTTGATAATGAAAGAGGAAGACTTTAGCTATTTGATAAAGACAGCCCCAAGACCTTGTCAGATAGCAGTATCAGCAACAAATAATCACAAAAGAAGATTTTCATGATTGATCACAAACAGAGCAAAGTTGGAATATTCAAGTATTAATGTTCTTGAATATCATGATTTATCCTGGAACAACTGTGCTGACATCTTCCGTGGAAATATAAAATAAACTTCTGGTCCTTTAAAATCAATCAAGACAGTAGCAACAAAATATAGTGGGGAATACATTTGTCTTTTTAATGCACTTGGATTAAAATTGCCACTTTCAGCCAGGTGTGATGGGCATGGTCATAATCCCAATGTGGGCGACTGAGGCTGATTGAGGCAGAATTTTTGCCAATATCACACTGAGCATCTTAAAAAAGTAAATAGAAAAAAAAATGCCAGTTTCTTTTAATATTGTAGGTGAAGCACTAAACATAAGTGTCATTGATTGTAGAGACTGCATATTTTAATAGCGTATGATAAAACTGAATGTATAAGCACTACACATATACCTGAATAGTGACTGGGAAAAAGAACAGATTAGGCAGAAAGTAATTCGGAAAAATAGGGAGACAAAAATTAAGGTCTGGCCAGATATCTCACCAGACTAAAGCGCCTGCTTAGGCAGAGCTCAGCAGCTGGGGTTCAATCCCTGAACTGCCACTGGGGGCGCACCGAGGTGGCATTTGAGACTGGGCATGATGGCACACCTACCTGTAATCCTAGCTCTTGGGAGGCTGAAAACGGAGGATCACTATGAGTCCAATCTGTGTAGTGAGACCCTATGGACTGTTATAACCTGACCAAAGCGCCGCCATCCTGTTCTGTATGCGCCGTCTTAGTGAACCATGTCAGCTGCTGTAAAATGTAACTTCCTGCTTCCCAAGCCCTCACCCCATCCTTGAGTTCCAATATGTGCTTTGTCTCACAGAACACCTGTTTCCTGAAGCCCCCATCCCACCCTTGAGTTCCAATGTGACTTCTGTTTCCCAAGCCCACCCCAGGCCTATAATCATATTTAGTCTCAACAGATGCCGTGACTTTTTGAACTTCCCGAGTTGTTACCCACCCCCCCCCACCACCACCCTGCCTGCTTTGTGGGTTTAAGCTTTATAAACCTCACGCTCCCCTTCCTTGGGGCTCACTCAGGTACTTTGTACCGGGTGTTGCCGCTGGGTACCAGCTAAAATAAAGTGCTTTTTAAACTTTTGAGCCTGCCTCATTTTTGAGTTACAACATAGACTCTGTACTAAATACAAAAAAACAAAAACAAAACAAAACAAAAAAACCCAAAACTAAATTAGTGTTTGCTTGTGGTGCAACAAAGCTGGTGGCAGCTGAGTGGTAGGTGATCCCTTTTTGAAGTGATGATCATATTCCCATGGTTGAGAAATCTGTAAATACAGTACTTCAGTAGTAGTTGAAA